TCGTATGCTGCGAATGTAAGACCGATACATCTATTAGGTTGTCTCATAAATAGTGTCGCTTTTTTTTCAACCAAAAAATTTTCATCTAAATCCCATGCTTTTACATCGAGTCATATACCATTCGAAAGAGAATTGTCTGCTCTACAAATGCGTTTCTTCTTCCATCTATGTTCCATGGTTTTCAAATTTTAGGCCTGCGAAATGGGAGGTCCCGCCGACAAAAATTGACCAAACCGACAACTAGCTCTAACTTTATTTTCCCTGCGGAGAAATCAATCAATGATGTACCCTCTACTTACTCATGACCTCTTCTGAACATTCCACCCTTAGGTTGCCGAAAAAGGTTTGCCCTGTTTCTTTTCGAATTGGCCGACCGATAAGCCATGCAATTTTCAAATTGAAATTCTTCCTCTGAAACGCTATTGTTTTATATCAACTGGTGTATCTTTTGTGAGCACTTCTTCTGCTCTATTCGCTCATTTGTTTTGTTTTTAATGTTTGTTAGGAATTAGCTCGAATTTTAGGTGTTTAGGAGTAAGGTGCTTTATCCACGAAAGTGACCGCATTTCTTTGAAAAAAATTATCCTTGAAGATGAGAAAATCAACCAGGCGTACATTCCTAACTTAGTCATGACTTGTTCTTAAATTCTACTAGTTTTTCAATGTCTCGGCTATAAAAAAATTTCGACCTAGATCTCAGGTAATGGTGCTCGACCGTCGAGTTCTGGTTGAAAAACCAGGTCTGGAAATGGAATGACGCGACTTGTTGGGAAACCTAATAGTGTAATGTATAGAAGAGGAAATTGAAAACCATGGAACATAGATGGAAGAAGAACACAACTCTTGTAGAGCAGACAATTCTCTTTCGAATGGTATATAACTCGATGTAAAAGCATGGGGATTTAGATGAAAATTTTTTGGTTGAAAAAAAGCGACACTATTTATGAGACAACCTAATACTTAAGTTGACTCGGAATGACTACGCGCTGCAACTCGTTTCCGCTGACTTTGTCTTGTTTGCCGGCGGGCGACGGGGCCCTGTCGGACCAGGAGAACGCTGCCTTTCAGCGCGATGACTTCCGCCGCCACTTCGGCGCCCGACGCGGTCCATCTCGTCCATCTTTTGGGTGCAGACCGTCCAATTTCCTCCCCGCTTTGAAAATGCAAAAAAAATTCCGAGGAGAAACAGTTACTGTTGGAAATCACATTGGGAGTTGGGGCGAGCCAACTTTTTACCCGAAAAGGACATGTCTGATGGCTGGACGTATATTCGTAGCATTACCACTTTCCTAAGACCGCGTTCATAGTTCGCGATTCCGGAGAGTAGGATAGTGCGCGACAATGAAAAAGATAGTATTGACGGGGAGATTAGGATTTAGGATAGTGCGCTGATTAGATATGTATTGATCTATTCGCTTGAAGTCGCCCAATCTACTACTCTCCAGCGATTTCAATCGATACGTATCCAATCTTGTCAGCGCAATCTCCTACTCTACTACTATCCTAATATCCTACTATCCTAATCTCCCGAGTCGCGAACTATGAACGCGGCCTTAGCGGTCCATTCTACTAGCTAAGTGAACTCACTGACACGAATTGCACGTCACCAAGTACGTCCTTCCCATGAGACCCGTGGCTCCGCCCATCCGTCCTCGAAGCGTGGTTTTCGAAGGTTTGCGTCTTTGTATACAACCTCCATTTTTCGCAAACAGCAGCTTCCTGGAAGAGCACAAATTTACGTGGATGATCCTTTCACTTAGCGCGAGTTAACCCAGACTGCGCATATCTATCGAAAAAGAAGGCCCTATTTTGAAATCGCTACAGCATTACTTTTTCCCTTTTCAAAAGTAGCCCTTTATAGGGACCCACGGACAAAACTCCTGCTGCAGCGGATAAACCGGCGGAGAAAGTTGCCTCTGCAGACAAGATAGAGAAGCCTGCAGACAAACCTGCAGAGAAGCCCGCCGACAAGAAGCCATCCGATAAGAAGAAGAAGGTTGCTCAAAGGGAAAAGATGAAAGACAATGATATGATCAAAAGTGACAACTTCACGTGAGATCAATTCTATTCTTGAGGCAGCGTCCAAAGTTGGCGATCGTACATGCGACCAGGCGATTTCGCGATTTGTCTGTAAAGAAAGGGATAGGTATCGATTGGGCGAGTAGGCGAGTAGGCGATTAGGCGATCGCTCAATGGGCGGAGCAACAAATCAATACGTATCCTTCTCTTATCGCCTACTCGCCTACTCGCCTAATCGCCAAAACGATACGTGTGCTTCCTTTCTAAATCATCGCCTAATCGCATGGTCGCCGACTCTGAACGCTGCCTAAGGATGCTTTACGCTCACTTATGCTCCCGAATTTTTCCAAACTATCCGGATTAGTGCCTTTTTTCCTGTATGACGAATCTTTCAGATGGAGAGTTATCAAGCTGCTAGGATCAGGTGGCTTTGGAGATGTGTATAAGGTTGTGAAAGAAAATGATGCTGACAAGCAGGTTAGAATCTGGACCTTTTCCACCCATGGAGGCAAACTGATTTTGGAAATTGGAATACGCATTTTGCCGCTTCATCGCCAGCGCTTCCGTGGCCACGAGTTCCGTTGAAGTACTCCGCGGGCTTTCTTAATTCTGACAATATCGGCCTCATTCTTCCACTGAATGTGCCTTCACCGTGCGTGTCAGCAAGTTCATGACTTCACAGCGTCGCCGTGCTAAATTCTCTAGCATTTTATTGGAGACTTTTAGTGCGTGACAACAGTCGTACGAGTTCCACAGGTGAAGGATGATAACTATTATTCTTATTAAGACGCGTTTATACTCAGCAAGCTGGAGAACGGAGAATCCTGAGCACTACTGGCCGACGAGGACGATCGGCAGATAGGGACATGGGACTGTTGAAGGTCTGCGAAGGATATTTGGCTCTCCGTTGTTCACACTAGTTATGAACTGATTAAGAGAACGAAACCCGAGAAATAACGGATCAAAAAGGTCTGCGAAACCATGAGAATCTGTATACAAATCGACCGATTGGCATTTCTTCCAAATTCAACCACAAATAGACGAAGGCAAAGAGAAGAATGGCCTGAGATGTCACAAAATTCGTTCAGATGACACAACATTTATTGCTATACTATTCATTACATCTCAGCAATATTAATTGTAATGACAAAATTCCCTCTAAAGGCACGTTGCCCCCTGTTTGGAAGCCACACTTCCCCACCGGCTATTCATTGGAACGGGCACTCCCGCGAAATGGATAGCTTATCAGAAGGCCACGAAGATAGCGGACATATTTACGACACAAAACGATCAGTAACGGCAACAGGGAATTGGAAGCGTGCACATTTCACGCTCTACACAGCAGTGGATGCGTCAGCGTCTGCGTCTCGCTAGTCCCATACACTCTCTCGTCTCCGAGTTACGGATGTGAATGTGGTGGAGCGTAGCTATTTTGGAAATGTCATACCTCGTGAAGATGTTATGCTATCCTCCATTTCGTTGAGTATAAACCCGCTCCACCTAAAAATGCACGGCACAGACAGCCAAGTGAGCACCTACTGTCAACGTCAAAATGAGTGGGGGCTTAGGATGCCATTATAACATGCCCGCTTCTTATTAGGACTAGGCCCACGGCTTTCCTTCCATTTCATGCTTTTGAAAAATACCTAAGTCAACAAATTCCATAGAGAATATTCCATTTGAGGAGTACGCAATGAAGACAGAGATGTGTGAAGGAGATAAACGTATGCTACGTCTCAAAATTGAAGTTCGTGTTCTTGGCCTTTGTACGCAAGTGGAGAATCCCGAAAAGAAAAACACTTTCTCGAATTGATTGATCGTGGAAAGACGGAAAAGTTCAAGGTAAGCTGGTAATGCTTGGCTGCTTCACAGGGAAGAATTAACTGGCCGGTTCAACCATTTAAAGTGAGTGTATACCTGCAAAGAAACGATTCCCTGAAAGAAATTATGAAGCAGGAAAGTGCAGCGATGGTGACCCTTATCCGCAGGCAAGCGACCGTAGGAACGATTCTAATGCTAGTCGGTAGTTTTGCTCCTTTCGGAAATATGTTGAAGTTCTTCTAGCTACCCTCCCTTTCAAAAAGCGAGAAAGTGTCGGGTGCAGACCATGCACCACAAGTGACGACGGCCTTCACAAAATGTTAATGTTTTCTGCCAATGAAATGATTAGCCTGTTGCAGTTGTATTCTATCGATTGTCACTAATTACAACTATCATTTACCAGAAATCAGCTATCACTATGAACAACTTCTAACCAGATTTACTTGGAGGCCGTCGTCAGTTGTGGTGTTTGGTCTGCACCCGACACTTTCTCGCTTTTTGAAGGGAGGTTAATATCTCTAAAAAGATCAAAAGCACCGGCACCGGCGTCAGAGTCGATCCTCCGATCTCTTGCCTGTGAATCAGGCGTCACGAGCACACGTCAGGAGCCCCTTCGCGCGGCAATGGGATAAGGACGCAGAGGGTTATTGGGCAGATTGACTACTCTACCCTCCCTATTTTCTACACTGTCTCCTCCACTACTGCTTATTTGAATCAACGCTGGAGTAGCGCGAAAACTCGTCCATTGCCTTTCTCTGCGTCCCCGCTCCCTTGCCGCGCTGTAAGCCTCTTGACGGGTACCCCAGGGTCTACCTTTGCGCTTTTCTGCTTCATAACTTGTTCAGGCAATCGCTACCCAGACAGTGGGAGC